AAAAGCCTATTTTGAGGCAATGGGAGTTGATCCACCTAATTCTACGGCTCGTTAGGTACTTTTGACATGAAATGTTCATGCATCGAGAGCGATATTTGTTATGTAGAGTTGAACAGCACTCGATAAAAAGTTAGTTTCTTTTTCTCTCTCTCTCTCGAGTGTAGTTACATCTCTTGCCAAACAAAATGGATATTTTGCTTCGTGCAAGTGTTGTTATGAAATTATAAACCATATTGTAACTCTAACTCCTGTCGAGATACACTCAACCTCATGTAGACAATCAATTCGATTGTTGTAGTACGACTCTTAGTGATTATATAGACGATGCATTTTGTTGAACAAAGATTTCAAAAGATTTAACCGTTTTTGTTCAAATGAGTTTCAAAGGACGAGGGAATGAACTTTCATACTTGTCTTTTCATTAATATAATCGTTTTATATCTTGTACATTTTCACTCCTATCTTTGATGTAAGAAGAGTAATTAAACGACTTGATTCGAAGTTCTTTTTTTTCGGATTATGAAACTAGTCGATTTCTTTTTCGTGTTTAGATAAAAATAAATTTCGTAAAAAGGATGTGTTGAAGATAATTTGATGAAATAAGATTGACCTCTATGTAACAATTTATATTTTTACATAAAACGGCTCGATAATAATGAATTATCATCTTTAAAAAAAAGGCATTTAATGAAAAACTTATTAAGGCCCCTTTTATTGCACATTATGAAGGTAAGAATGTATTTTTATTGTTGATGTGATAGGAAATATGTGGTTAAAAAAGAATGAAAAGTTATTGATGTGATGAAAAATATTATTTTATTGAATATTGTGTTGTTGAAAATGAGTAAAAGAATAAGAATGAAAAAAATAATGTGGATCAAACAAGGCCTTACGGGTGACATCTAAAAGAGATAGAGACATTGTAAATATAAATTAATGTTTATAAAATTTAATATAAATTAATTTCTATTTATATAAAACTTTTCTATTACTTAACAACAATTAACATCACGCTGAAACCAAGCAGCTCAAGCGATAATCAAAATAATCGATTGATATTAATTATTATTTTAAGAATTCATATTCTTAAATTAATTATTTTAAGGCCATTCAAATTTCAATAGATGGCAAGCCACCTTGAGAAAAAAATAAAAAATAAAATAAAATTATACACTATAATATCCTGAAGTGTAAAGAGTGCCAAAATTTCAAACTGAAAAATGGCATGTCTTAAGGACAAATTATTCAAAATTGACCTCATGTGATGGTTAAGGTGAAAATGTTTATTTTCGAACTGATTTATTTAAAAGATTTTATTGTAAATTATCATCACCTTCTTCCTCATTCCTAGTCTCCATCACCAATCTTCAACTCGTTCATTTTCTCGATCCTTCTGCCTTTGTTAGTTATTTCTCCTTCCTCTAAGTCTTGCTTATCTTTACCTACTGAGGGATTTCATTTCCATCGTCACTTGAGAAAATTATCTATGCATTTTGAAGTATAGACTTTAGGAAAAACTATCAGATATATGGCACTAGAAAGTAACTGAAAGAGGCATATCATGAAAGTTTTAAGATTTATCCTTGGGCTAAAATGGTGAGTTCAAGAGATTGTAGACCTCTGAAGTAGAAATTTGAAAAGAGCTTGAGAGACTATCGGGTAACAACTATAATATATCTTTGAATTTTCAAATCGAAAAAAATTGAGGAACAGTAGAAAGGTCAAGGGAGATAAAAATTGCGTGGACTTAGAAGACCGACCGACACTAGGGGAGAATGGGACCATCAATCGTGGAAGAGAATAAGTGATAAAAGAAGAGGATGGAAAATACCATAGAGAAGGATAATATATTTTATTTTATATATAAATTAAAAGAAAGTCATTTTACCAAAAAACAGAAAAACAAAACAAAACAAAAGATGAAAGTAAGAGTGAGGCTAATTTATATTTTCTTATATATATATATAAATTAAAAGAAAGAAATTGCCAAGTAAGAGTGAGGCTAATTTACAATTCTCTCCAAATTGTCTTCTCTAAACAAAGTGACTCTTTGTTAAAGAGCCTAGTCAAATAATGTTTTTGGTTAAATTGCCTCCATTCAATGTTTCTTGATTAATTTGTGTCCAATTATAAGATAAAATAAAATAAATAAACAATATCAAAATACTACAACAAAAACGACATTTTACAACATATGAAAGACAATATTCGTTAATTGTGTGTTTTTAAAATGAGTCTATTGCAACATCAAATATGTGCATGCTGATGTTGGTTAAAATGATTGATATTGGAGTCTATCGCAACATCAAATGTGTGCATGTTGCTATTGGTTAAAATGATTGAGATTTGGCAATAGTATTCTAATGCATGTTGCTATTGTCGTCTATTGCAACGTTTGTTGATTGTTAAAAAAAAAAGTTCATATATTTCATATTTTTTTAATGTTCAAAGAGAGTTATTAAAACCTTATGCTATTGTGACGTTCAAAACATAGACATAAATAACGATAAAAGCATAGACAACATGCAAATAACTTTGCCAAAAAGGATATTAATAACATTCAGTGAATGTTACAAAATTATAAGGATAAAATCATACACAACGGCATAAAACGTGGCCAAAAAGGTTATTAGAAACACTCAACGAACATTGCAAAAAATAAATACTATAGTCGATGAACATTGCAAAAGGATGTTAAGACAACAGTCAAGTGATTGTTGCAAAAGTATTTAAGACAATAGGCAATGAACGTTGCAAAAAATAAAAAGACAATGTTCCCTGAAAGCATTTTGTGATGGTCTTTGAACATTGTCGTATCCTTCTACTTTACAACGATATCGAAACCCGCAACATACGCGTGAACATTAAAAGGTCTTTCACAACATTTTTTGCATGTTGAGAATGACAATTTTGTTATAGAAAAAGTCTTAAATACCATTACCATTGTAAAAGACCTTAACATCCTTGTCAATTCAATTCAATTTTAGATAATTCGAGTCTTCAAGGTATCCATAAATTCTCGACGCTTTCTTCCCCTTCAACAGTCCATGATTATTACTCAAAAATTCACTTCTTCATTGTATTCTTCAGTTCTTTTGAGCATTTGAACAAGAGTTGCTTACCATATAATCTATATTAAGAAATTTCAGGTACATTGTACTTTTATTATTGAATGATGTTTTAGTTGGTATTGTCTCGTATTTAGCATAATTTTTTGTGTTGTTTGTAACTACTGGATGATAACAATACTCGAAGCATTATCTGATATGTTAAATGGCACTGCAACTGTTATCTGCTAAACGAGGTGGACAGGGAAATTCACGATAATGTTATGTCAAGAAAGGTGATGCGACCACTAAAACTAAGAGGCAGTGGACGTTCATACAAAAAAAAAAGAAACAATCAGTTGGAGATGAGTGAAAGTCTCGTAAGTGTAGCTGGTGTTCGAAAATTGGGAATAATCCATCACTTGTACAAATAGCGCACCACTCAACGAGAGACGTGAATAATAAGCATTCTTTTAATTTATCTAATGCAAAATGTTATATGGTTTAGTACATTTTTGGACTGCTCATTTTGAAATTAAAATGTAATGGCTTTTTTTACACAATCAAAGAGGGCATGCTATGATGTATTGCTTTTGTAATTTTGAAATACAAATTATTTATAATGTTTAGAATAATTGATTTTCTCATTGTCTTAGAATGAACGTGAAGACATAACGATATATAGGCCCATTTTATTATAGTAAAATAGAACTAGTGTCGTTTTTACTATTTTACATATAAAATACAGTGGCAATGATGTTCAATAACTACATATTATTGATTTGATATCAATTACTTAACATCTACATGGTATCATTTATTTCTATTGTGTTTACACATGTAATGGCATTAGGGCTATTTTCTTGTCCAGTAATAACATTTTTGTTGTTCAGTAGTTTTCATCTATATTTCGACTTTTTTTCAATGGAACGACCTCTAATAATGGACTCTCTAATGTTTGTAACACAAAAAGGTTGAACATGAGACAAAGAATGATTGAAATGACATAGATCATATGTTATTGAGTTGGTGAAATCACAAGTCATCCTACTCATACACGTCGATTAAGTTAATAAACATATCTATCGACTTTTGTACATGTCATGTGGATTTTACAATGTAAATAAGTTTCGCTTATTAGTTCTTGGGGGGCATGAATGAGACATGACTGTTTATATTTGTGTTTACACACATAACGACTCAAAAGTCGTTTCATGTTTATGGCACTTGTACCATTATATAGTTTTCACCTATATTTTTGTTTTATAACAAAATAACTTCTAATAATGAACTTCCTAAGGTATGTAACTACTCCAATATTTATCGAGCATTGGTGAAGCCCCTTCAACATGATCAATGGCCTAATGGTCAAATATGTAGTCATCTTTTTTCTTCTTTAAGTGTACCCATTTTTATGTGGGCTTTCTTGACAAGTTGCCAAAAACAACAATCCAACATTGCACAATCTTGCTGAAATAAATGCGGATATGTCACTGGCCTTTCCCTTATGTGGTATAAGGTCGAGTCCACGTGCTCTACAATAACTTTATCCTCTTTAAGAGATTATTGTATTGAGGGAGCGACACTGTTGCTCTTCTCGTAACTCCATTCCCCATTCCTAGATATGATTCATAATTCAGATCCTTGACCACAATGATTTCATTATTTGGTTGACAGACATGTGAAATATTGATCAAATGCTCTCCAATATTGCCTAAAAAAATTATCCAGCACAATTCAACTTAGGGGTGAACGCAGTTCAATTTTGCTGGGTTGTGCCATATTTTCAACTCAGACCATATCATGTAGTTTGAAATTTTTCCAAACCAAACCATTATTTGCAGTTTGGTTCTATTTTAATCTGTGGTTTACCTATCAATATTACAGTAATATATTTAAAACAAGTTAACATATAAATTTAAACGATAGCTAATAACATTAAATGTTAAATTACATTTATATTTGTCTAAAATTCAAAATACAAACAAAAAGGCAAAAAAAGTAGTAACAAGTTAGCATCTAGTAATAGACCAATTGCTTTCTCCACTCAAACTATTACAATTCAATTTGGGGGTGAAATCGGTTCAATTTTGGTGATTTGTGCCATATTTTCAACTCAAACCATTTCACGTAGTTTGAAAATTTTCCAAACCAAACCACTATTTGCGGTTTGGTTATTTTTTAATCTGCGATTTACCTATCAATACTACAGTAATATATTTAAAACAAGTTAACACATAAATTTAAACGATAACTAATAATGTTAAATTACATTCATATTTGTCTAAAATTCGAAGGTTTGGTTTTAATCCGCAATTTACCTATCAACATTATAGTTAAATATTTAAAACAAGTTAACATATACATTTAAACAAGAACTAATAATGTTAAATGTTAGATTACATTCATATTTGTCTAAAATTCGAAATACAAACAAAAATGCAAAAAAATAAAAAAATTAGTAGCAAGTTAGCACAATAAACCAATTGATTTCTTCACTCAAACTTTTACAACTAACAATATAAAAGCAGTAGCAGCGTCCCTTCAGGCTTCATAAAATTGCATTCTAACCTCTTAAATATAGAAGCAACAGACATATAACATTTCCCATGAAACACGTGAATAAATTATTTTCAAAGCTTGGTTGCTAAAAGATGTTAACAGAACGGATACGTCTTTCTACGTTTTTATTTATTTTTTCTTGTTTGCTTTTTATATTGTCACAAAGTGGTTGGTAACGTCAAGTCACATTATGTTATTAAGCCTCTATTTGGTAGGCATTTTTGTGGAGAGAATGCATTTTTTTAATGTGATGGAGAATATGTAGTTGAAAAATAAGGAAAAGTTATTGATGTGATGAAAAATATTATTCTATTGAAAAATGTGTAATTGAAAATGAGTAGAAGAATGAAAATGAAAAATATAGAATGTGTTTGATGTACATTAAAACGGAAAGACTGCATTTTTTTGTGATGTGATGGTGAATATATGATTAAAAAGAAGGAAAAGTTATTGATGTGATGAAAAATATTATTTTATTGAAAAATGTGTGGTTGAAAATGAGTAAAAAAATGAGAATGAAAATGAGAATGTGACTCAAACATATGTATATGTTTGATTAAAACTCCTTTCGTCTTGCTAGTGAGATGAAAAATATGGACTGAATATGATATATTTAGACGTACAAATATTGATCAATGATGCTACATCTATATCTTTTCTTACATCATTCTTGACATTATGCTACACACGACACATGATTAGACAGTTTTAAGAAAAAACTTTCCTACCCATCACTTGTTGAACTTCAATGAAATGTGCACAAAAATGTAAACCAAAGGATGTACACTTAGTTCAGGCTTGTTAGGAAATGACGAGTTTCATTTTTTAACTACTTTATCGTACCTCAATTTGTCCTCCTCGTCAATCCATTTAATCCATACCTCAAAGGAGAGGCAAGTGAAAAATGTGCAAAATGTATTATGATATTGGAATAAACAGGTTTCACTAGATTATCTATAGATAAATTTCATTAACCATTTCATTATCACGTTATTGACACCATTTTCGTTTATAATAATGCTAATAGATGAATTTCTCTTTAATCCATCATCACCAAAACAGTGAATGTATCAAAAATCCATCCACGTTAAAAAAATTTCAACTAAAACTTGGATTAAATCGTACGAATAAACTATGAAATCATAAACAAGGCATTACACTTTTTCATGCTAATCCCACAAGAAGCAAAAATCACATTTCAACATGAAAAAAATTAAGGAAAAATTACCTTTTTTTCCTGCCAGTTTGTACCAAATAGAGATGAAGTAAACTTGAATGATTTTTTTATTTTTTTTTCCTTTTGTAATCTTGAAAACTACAAGAAACTTATGTGAAGAAAACTACGTTAGAATTTAAAAGGGAATAGGATTTTACCGTGAAACTGAAGAAGAAAGAAAGAGGTGATGAGGGATAATAGTTTGCTATTAATTGAAGGGCAACTTTGTCATTTTGTCAATTAAAACATTTTGAATTTTATTTTTTCTAATGTTGGTGCCGGCCATTTCTCCACAAGTTTCAAATTGACTTCTGACGCGACAAAGACCCACTCGGGCTCAGAATTGAAATCTCGTTCTTCTTCATTTCGATTCAAATTTTCGTTGAGTCCCTCTTTTTGTTTGTTCAAAATATTCATTTTTCCCGCTCGGATTGAGAATTTGATTCCATGTCTACAGCGCAACGGGAAGATGATGAGGAATGGGAACTAATAAACGACGATGGCTTTGTATACAAGCGGAAGAAGCGGTCACGCCTCGACCCCGCATCCTCCGCCGCACCTCCGCCAGATCCGGCGGTGGAAGAGAAGAACCGTCGCCGGAGGAAGAAAAGGGCTCTCCTCAAACTCAGAGACAAGTACTTGAAAGAAATCCGCCAGTGGGAACTTTTGTCGAACACCTTGAAGGAAATGCAAGAAAACGCTAATGAACAAATGCAAAAGCGTCGAGAAGTGGATTCCACGAGTTGTTTCGACGGAGCCAGTAGTTCAAATTTACCGACGGCACAGTCCACCTCGGGTTCTACCCACCGGCGACTCATTGACGAGCTCTTCTCTCAGGTACTACTCGATTTACGCCCTCTAGGGTTTCGATTTGCCGCATTTCACCTCATTTATGGGAACTTCCCTTTTTCAATTGATAGGCTGAAGCACAAGAGGCGATAATTCGAGACGTCTCGAATCTGTGCGATGTAGCAGAAGCATTGTGCAGTGCCCAAGAAGAGAGATTGAAGCAGCAATTCACTGACCTTCCGATTTGGGAATCGTCGCCACGCGAGCTCATGGAAGCATTAACTAAACAGTAATAGGTTTGTTTTAGGAATTTGTATCATCTATCCAAGACAGTTGTTTCAACTGTAGGTGCAATTAGGGTTTGTGTTTTATCTTTTTCTGGAATTTTGTAGCCTGTAATTGTGCTTACAAAGGCTGCAATTGATCTTTTTCTGGAATTTTGTAGCCTGTAATTGTGCTTACAAAGGCTGCAAAGAAAGGGGGGAGTGAGATGAGATATCTGTATTTTGTCAAGTTATTTTGTAAATTTGAGATGAAATCTGGGATTCCAAATAGCTAATCATGTGAATGGTAATATTTGTTTCTTGAATGCATTGCATTTTGATTATGCAGTTTCTTTACTGTTAATCATTGAGGGTTTTGAGGGATGTTGATTTTTTGAATGTTTTGAGATTGTTGGGATGCAATGTCAATGGTGAGGTAGCAAGTATATGATCCCATGTTCGGTATAATGCATAAAATTTTAACTTCTTTTATACGTTCCAGTACGCTTCAACCCCTTACTAGACGAGCCTAGAAGGTTTGAAGCAAGAGACGAGCTCCTATTTTGAGAAACAATTAAGCTACTTATACATTCTTGTTGACATCTCTCCTACTGTGTCAAAAATATGGTCATTGATATGAAGGAGTGTTGTAAAAATCAATGACTATGATGAATTCAATGTCAAAGGATGTCAAACTTGGGCCCTCTTCACATTATTTTTTTCATTCTCATTCTTGTACTCATTTTTAACCACATATTCTTCAATAAAGTAATATTTTACATCACATCAATAATTTTTCCTTCTTTTTTAACCACATATTCTACAACATATCAACAGTAAAAATGTATTCTTTTTCCAAAAATGTGCACCAAACGGGAGCTTAATATTAAACTCAACGCACATGTAGCAAGATGGTGATGACTTGAAGCCAGTTTGCTTCCTCAATATTGGACTTGAGTCCCTTTAGTCGAGAAAACAATTATGCCGTTTAGACAAGAAAAAGAATCATACTAATTCTCGGGCAAGCTTTGTAGACTTGCATTAATCTTGGTATTGGATATGACTTGACTATCCCTATCAACCACACCATTATGATTTATATCACTCTTGAAAGGATCTGATGACACTTGATCAAGATGAAGAAACATTTATTGCAGGATCTCATTGTTGTTCATGGTCATGAGGCTACAAAAGTTTTAACAAAAAAAATATAATCAACAGTCTCTCAATAGTCTTCATTTTGATGACAGATTTCCATCAAATTCTTTTAGTAAAGATGGCATAACTTTAACTGGTTCAATGACAAAACCAGCTTTTTCGCACGCAGCCTCCAAAAGTTGTACTTGTGAAGGCCCTTCAGGGCAGAACACAATAACAGCTCCTCCACTGCCTGTAAATTTTGATGCAGCACCAATCCCTCCGGCAACTTCAACCATCTCTATGTTCAGTGCCCCAAGGGCATCATCTCCAAACATTTGCCTGACATAACCACAAAACAGAAGTTATATACAAGATCATTATGCAAACATTGAGCCCACTTAGACCAAACTAAGCACGTGGCTAAGCATAAAAAGTAACAAGTTTTATCATAAATAATTTTTTCTATCGATCAAAACGCGCTAAGGTAAAAGTTACTTTCAAACCATAATTTTTTTCTGTACAAGAGGAGCAACTGAGCGGAACATGTTTGGAGGTTACTTGTAACTTTACATTTTTTAAGTTTAGCCAAACACGGTCTGTCAAAAAAGGCATAAAGGGGATCCAAATGGAGAAACTCGTCACCAGTGATATTCCTTGTGTTATTATTCCAAGTGCCAAAGATTAGCAGCTGGAGAGTGGATAGAAGAGCAGTTATTCACAATAGTTTTTGCAATACCCACGTTATACAACTCGTGCCTATGACAGTAAGCTTAAAGGAACGAAAGGTTGAAAAAATGTAACTAATAAAAGTCGAACATCTCCGTTAACCACCATGGATATATCTCTTACCTTAGCAGGTTCATGAGGCTTGCAAATTTGGCACAGTCCTTATCAAGCAATGCCTTCTGGCCTTGTAAAGCAATTTTTGCAACCTCTTCCATGGACGATATTAAGAACTCATCACCATCTAACCACATTTGTCGAACTGTACTATGTACCTGCAATACATCAATGTTTCATCAAAATATGCCCTTACAACTAGCCTTTTCAAGTAAAAGGTCCCACAAACATCCGTCTTCAGAACACTCATGGAATTACTACTTTTTCTTTTCAAAATGGTTAAAAAAGAAAATTTGAAGAATATGCTAACGAGTTTCATGGAGGAAATTTGAGCAATTTGTCTTCTGGTAACACAAGAAAAACTTTCAAAACCATTTCTACCAGAACCAGAAACATAAAGCTAAATTATTATTATTATTTTCCTTATTTCCATTTTCTTTCTTTATGCTGAACTTTATTACAGAAGATTTGATTTCTTTGGATATTTCAATAGATTGACCTTCGGATAGTACAGATGATGATAAAAAATATTAACATTAGCCTAATTGGTGTAGGAGCATGAATGACAAGGTCAAAATTGACTTATATCGAATAAAGATTAAAATATAGACTATGATATAAGAGTTTGAGCTATTCCTTTTAAAATGATGACCTGTTTAAGATGGAATTTAAAATTTTAACATGGTATCAGAGTCCATTAAATTCTAACGAGCAATTCGATTCGATTAAGAAAAAATGAGCATTCAAATGAGCTATGGGACATGTTAAGTGATAAATCACGCATCGAATAAAGATGGGATCTCAAATCTTAACATGTATCCAAGCGACAATAGAATGTTCTAAAAAAAGCTTTTTTTTTTTTTTTTTTCAGTCTGACCTCATACCTAACTCCAATTGTTTTCCCTTCTTTTTATTAATTACATGTTCTATGGTCATCAAAAGGTCTGAAATTACTTAAAAATTAATTGGAGATTCTTACCTTGAATTGGAAAAAACCTCAACTAGCACTTTGTATTCTCTGCCTTTCTTACTTCCACTACTTCTCTTCCTCTTTTAATTAGCCCACATACCAATTTATCTCATTTGAATTGAACCTGTTCCTTTCCAATTCCCAAACCCACCTAATTAAAAACCCTTACATACGCCTACAGGTAAAGTTAAAAGTTCAATTATTTTTGCCAAAAGCTTATAAGTTAAAGCTGCAATTTAATCTTAATGTTGTGACTGCTAAATTAAAATTGCTAATTGCGTGAATTTAATTCCATGGTATTGAGTTTAATCTTTAATTTTTGTATGATTTACAAGGAAAATTATGTGGACTTGCAAAAAATACAATTCCACGTTTAATAGTTTTGTGAATATTATTTTACTTTTTTTATATTTTTTTAATCTAATTGAATATGACTTCATCCGTCAATTATTTCAATGGACCAACTTCACTACAGTTAAAAATGAAACATCGTCAATCTGATGCCAAGAAAAGGAAAACATTGTTCTCCTTCTTTAAAAAGGTAGTTGAATTTACCGTAAGTACTCATTGTGTTGAAGTTGAAAAGGATACTACAGTTCATTAAAAAAAAATTCGAATGGTAAAGAGGATCTTTTATGGTATGAGTTCATTGAAAAAAAAAAATTAAATTTCATCACACCCTAACGTATCTTTCTGGCTCCATCCCCAGATATCTCTCTTACCTTCCCAGGTTCATGAGGCTTGCAAATTTGGCATAGTCCTTAACAAGCAATGTAGTTTGCCCTTGTAAAGCAATTTTTGCGACCTCTTCCATGGAAGATATTAAGAACTTATCATCATCTAACCACCTTTGTCGAACTGTACTATGTACCTGCAATACATCAATGTTTCATCAAAATGGAAAATAAATTCCATTTCCACCCAAATTCCATGTTTGATTAGTCAAATGTTCTTGACAATTCAATTTCCACCTTATGCCCCCACACGTGTCCAATTCTTGGTTTTTGAGGAATTCATTTTTCTCATGGTTTTGGTAGGAAAATGGTTTTATAGGTTTTTTTTTTTTTTTTTGCAATGAAAACAAATTCTATCCCCAATTGTAATTTTTTTTTTTTTTTCCCTTTTAATGGACAATTTTCGTGAAAAACAAAGTCAAATGAACACTAAAAGATCCAAAATTTCAACATTTTTCAGGTAGAAAATTATACAAATCAAACACAATTAATTGACAATTCCCAATAAAATGAATTTTAGGCAATTCAATTTTCTGAAATTTATTTTCTTTCTACCCAAATTTCATCATTACAAGCAAATGGACCCTTATGGAATTACTACTTTTTCTTTTCAAATGATTAAAAAGAAAATTTGAACAATATGCTAACAAGTTTCATGGAGGAAATTTGAGCAAATTGTCTTCTGGTAACACAAGAATAACTTTTAAGATGATGACCTTTTAAGATGGAATTTCAAATTTTAACATGGTATCAACGTCCATTAAATTTTAACGAACAATTCGATTCGATTAAGAAAAAATGAGCATTCAAATGAGCTATGGGGACATGTTAAGAGATAAATCACGCATCGAATAAATATGAAAATATAGACTAACGTATAAAGTTTTGAGTTACTCTGACATTTTAAGATGGAATCTCAAATCTTAACACGTATCTAAGCGACAACATATTATTCTAAAAAAAAAGCATTTTTTTTTTTAAAAGTCTGGCCTTGTACCTAAATCCAATTGTTCTCACTTCTTTTACAATTACAATTATTTAAATATTACTTTCTTGTCAATAAATTAAGGACCAAAGTTTTTATTAATGGGAATAATCGGTAGGGACCTAAAATATAACATAACCCTCGTGAAATTCACGAGGTTAGATCTTCAACTAAGGTTGTCCCAATTAATAATTCTCACCTATTAATAAATTAAGTGACTTAATATATCGAGATGTTACGAGACAAGTTTGTTGATGTACTCGGGAATGTCTAAAAATTTTGATAAGCAACAATAGTAATTGTCTAGACAATTGCAGAAAAGTTCGATAATTTTAAAATTGATAGACAACATATTCAATCCCCATTTTAGGTCATTTTTCACTAGATTTAGAACTTGCAGTATCCTGACAACAGAATGTAAAAAGTTTACATCTATTACACATTACATCATTTGTTTTGTTATGTTATGTATTATATCATCTGATGTTACATAATGGTATGTCATCCTTATAATGGAATGTGATAACGACTTTATGTTAATATATCTTTATAGTGGATAAGTCAAATTCAATTCATTATGTCTATGCTTGGCTTAGGTAGTACTTTGAGACTCGCCACCGCCGTAGTTGGCTTCGTTTTGGTGCCCAAATGATCAGATTCGTTCTCTTTTGTAAAGCATTTGTATCCGCTTTTTGCCTATTTATGTCAAGGATTGTTCGATACTAATAAAGGGTACTGTCTTCCTTGAGGGGATGTAGAATCCCCGTACTCCCCTTGATTTCTGACCGACCTGTCTTTCTTATATTCTTTTTCTTAACTGAACATGAATAGTCTTTGCACCTTGCTAATCAAGATGACAATGTATCTTAAGTTTAGAAAAATTCTAGACAGAAGGCAAGTCATTGGTTCAAATCCAATTAAAAGACTTTTTCATAAGTGTTTTAAACAATCACTCTTATCTTTTTGATATGCCTCTCAAGCAGAACGAATGAACAATAAATACATAGAGAAACGATCATAACTTCGATTTGTGTTTCATTTTCAACCATTCTTGTTTCTTTCCTTTTAGCGACTCTACTTGAGATCAAGCTTTTCAGGTTTACTTTTCTTTTAGAGATAAATTAATATTTTATGTGTATTGTTATAAATTCTCTTGTTCTTCAACTCCAGATTATGTTATTACATATTATAATACTAACCATTCTTTTATGCTGCATCCATATCCTATATTTTTCTTCCTCCGATTGCCATGTCCGGTTTTTCTCTTACTCGATTCTCATTTGGGTTGGTTCTTTTTGTTCGTAAAATTTATTACCAATAATATTTACTGAATCTCCAAATTCCAATTCCTTTAAGACGAAATAGTAAAGAGTCAGTGCTCGATTAGTTACAAGTCCTCAAATTGACTTCAATCTTTGTGTAATACGAGAATAGTCTCCTTAAGGGAGTCTGTTCAATACCCATTACTACAAGTATATTGGCATCTTTAAATCTGAGAAAGAAGACTGTCCAAATAGTTGGTAATGGTGACTTCATCTTTTTTTCAAATCATTATTACATTTACTCTAAACATGAACTTTAATTTAAATAAGAATGATTTATTTAAATTGACTTCGAGAGGTTGAGTCGTGTCGTTCTACAGAAAGAAGAAATTTTATAGATGGTAACGACAACTCAAGATCAACTACAGCATTAAAATTTCCATCCAATAGGTACATAAAGGAATATCAAACTGGAATATGAAAATACTGCCAAATATTGCCAGAATGTGTATTGTAAACATTTGAACCATTCACAGGTTCTGGCCAATGCTGATGTTATAAACACCCAAATCCCAAAATGTAAATGTGTCTACTTCAGCTTAAAACCGCGCTTTGCCTTGGCTTTCTTATCATTATTCTCTTTTTTCCCCTGATTCTGAGTGCACACTCGAGACATGTGCCCTGGCTGGCGGCATTTGAAGCAAATGTTCTTCCCAAACAAACACTCCCCTCTGTGATGCCGGTTACATTTGGTGCAATGTGTTTGACTAGACCTTTTCTTCTTGTTTGGGCTTTCATTTTTGTTTCCTTTTGGCCCCAAGGCATCCAAATTTCTCCTCTCTAATCTCTCTTGTTTCTCTCCTTCATTAGTTGGGTTTAAACTTTCAATGCTCTCGACTTTCACTAATTGTGGAGCCAAATGGGATAACTCATCAAACTTGTGCTCATCTGACTGTGACACGAGCAACTTTGCCTCTTTCTGATCTTTAAGTGCCTTGGGAAAATACTTCTCAAGCACCAGCTGTCTGAATCGAGCCCAAGTCATATTCCATTCTGCTGCAGTTTTAGTCCTCCTGGAACTCTCCCACCAATGACAAGCTCTATTTTTTAGCATAAATGATGCACAGGAAACCTTCTCTACATCAATGCACTCCATGCCTCGATAAATACGCTCCATATCTTCTAACCACTTCTCTGTTGCTAAAGGGGCAGCAGTACCATCGAATGATGAAGGGTTGAACTTGAGAAACTGCTCAATAACAATAGTAGATCCATATCGCTCTTGAGCTGCAAGCAGCAGTTGGTCGTTCTTATTCTCCTCATTGTTGCTCATGTTAGATGAAGAATCATTGCTTGCTCCAGGTGCTTCCATTTCCTTCAATATATAGAAGAAAAAACTCTGTAAGTAAATGATAACAAATGCCTCATTTCTAGTCTATTTTGTAGCTAGCTCTACAAGGCTGTCTTTATTTAAGGTCCTCCCTAACTCTCTCAAAGCACATGCTTGTGATGTTTAAAAGAAAACAGTAGTACATGTTTTAATGGAACATATACGAAATATAAGTCCATGTTTGGCTCCATTTTCTAAAAATTCATTTTTTCTCAAACACATTTTTGACTAGAAATTTCATGGGACACATAACTTTCAACCACATATTTCATCAACTTTTGTCAAAATCTACCAAAAATCTATCTTTTAGCTAAACCAAACAGGGGACAAATCTTTTTATTGATTTATTTATGCTATGCAGATCCTCTTGGATTTCTTATAAATCTACTTCCTTCTTTTAGACTCTCTCTTGGATGTCATCCCTAATTCTTCCTCAAGCATATGCATATGAGTGTGTAAAAGATGAAGCAAAATATACATAAGCGATTTAAATCATTCTTAATCATTATTCTCTTATATCTAACACTTTCGTAGATTGATGGTGGAGGGTAGGTCATCTCGTAGCTTGGAGATTGAGTAATCACTGGCCATTATACGGAAAAGAATGCAGAAGACATATAAGAGCACATAAGGCAATTATAATTCTATGAGCTCTAACTTTTTCCTCTTAAACTAGTAACTAAAAAGTTGGCTCTGATAACGAGTAGTGATGCCCTTCTCTCTCAGACATCAACCTCTGATCTCTTAAGTAAAAGGTTTAACTCTTTTGGCTCACACTCGGCACATAATTTTATAGATTAGGAAAAGACCCCTTAACGACATAAGAACCAGTCAGACACTTGCACCCAACTCAACACATTAAAGTATAACCATACCAAAATTCATGCAGAAATAATGTAAGGAAGGGTTTCAACCACTTAGGGGAAGTCAGCCTCTCTCGACAAAATGTTTCAGCGACCACTCTGTCTAAAAACGTACACAAGTCTCAGCATGTAATGAGATGGGGAACGAATTCTATAACTATGGAAAGCTAACTTCATATGCCATAACATATTAAAAGGGCAGAATCTGGTTTCATCTTTAAGTTGTGCTAAAGTCGTAGCTATTGCAAAATTCGCCTGGGCAGAACAGCTGACTTCAAAAATTGTTAGAAGTTCATCATAGAATCGTTTGGGACGTAAGTTCTATGAAAACAAGTTACTAATACCCTGTATAATCTTCGTGAAAACTGATTTTAGGGATAAAATCACGAAATTGAAAAACAGAAAGCTTAATAATAGTATTTAGTACCGTTTTCAATAAATTCGCCCTAAAAGCAATTAATTTGATCGCTCATAGACATCAATATATGAAGAAAACCACGTATTAAATCAATTCGACCCTGTTCATGAAAGCAAAAGCAACAATACATTATGGGATTTTGTTATTTTCCTAATTTAATGAGAGAAAAATAATAAGGGATTATTACGAGAACCAAAATCTCATACGAAATCTCTACGCTCATGAATCGCATCACATGCAATAACTATTTTCAGTACCAAAAAAATCAAAGCAAAAACCTTGAGAAAGAAAATCTTACTAATTCTTGGGTCGAAATTTCACTGCAAGAACGTGCTCTTCTGAACTTGAAATCAAAAATCGTACTCGATCCTTCTTCTCTTTTTCTATTCTTTTCTTTCTTTAGTCTTCTCTGTATCTCTATTTTTTCTCAACCTCGATTTTCTGTTGACCGAGAATTGCACGACGGTTGGATATAAAAGTGGTTTTTGAAAGGAATGTTTTGATTATGCATAATATTTCCTTGTTGGAATCAAATTCTAAAAAATGCCCTTTCCATGCGGGACCGTGTTCAGGTTTAAATTCCTAATTATATTAAGTTTAGGGAATATTTTAATGTAATGCAATCAAACTAACTTAATTAACTAAAAAGTCATTTACTAACTCTTGTATTAGGTAGGTAGTATGGTGGGATTGAGAGTTAGACGTGTTCGATAGAGATCAAAATTGGATTAAAATTGAAGAATTCGTCATTATTGTTGATTTTTATTAGACGAGTGGGACCCAATAAAATTTATATTTTCAATTTTAATTGAATTTTAATCAATACCAAACATGCTCTTAATTGTTTCACTGTACACATTGTCACGTTTCACTCGTTGAACTTCATCTTACATCTCATCACACAGGCGACTTTGAGAGTGCGCGAGTTGAGCGACCACAAAGACCTCATCATTATGGTGCACCAAAAAAATTTTTTATTTGTTATTTGTGTGTGTATTTAAAATATTTATTAATTTTAAAATTTAAAATATTAGACGAGTGGGACCCAATAAAATATATATTTTCAATTTTAATTGAATTTTAATCAATACCAAACATGCTCTTAATTGTTTCACTGTACACATTGTCACGTTTCACTCGTTGAACTTCATCTTACATCTCATCACACAGGCGAACTTTGAAAGTGCGCGAGTTGAGCGACCACACATCCTTCATCATTATAGGGGCACCAAATTTTTTTTTGTTATTTGTGTGTGTGTATTCAAAATATTTATTAATTTTAAAATTTAAAATTTTAATTATTATATTAAGTTAAATGATGAAATGTTTACAAAAAAGGAGTCAAAAGATAGACAAATGATAATTTTTATTTAACATTATTGTATTTTTTTATTCCTAATTACATATTATACCAAGACATTTTTATTAAAGTAGTGGAAATGATTGAGATGGTTTAGACTCCTTCATAGCTAATTTTAGTGTGTTGCGCTTAAATATTTTCATTTATAGATTATTTTTTTATTAATTGTATGCTTTTGATTTGGTATGATATATAATTGCATAAGATACTAAAGTTAAGAATAATGTAATCGAGTAGTTAAAAATTTCTTAAATAGTATCCTACTTTAAATAATGTTAAGACAAAAATATAATTCGTAAAAAGAAACATTTTGATGAAAATGTCACTGTAGAGGAGGCACAATCACTTGATGATTCTTTCATAACTAATTATTTCTTTTATATAGTAAATCAAGCAATTAGATCACTTGAACAAAGGTTCGATCAATAAAAAAAAAAAGGATATCTATTTTCTTTTGATATATTGACTTATTTGAAAAGATTGTATTGATTTTCGAATACATTTTTTGTTTGTAGAATATTACTGAGAATTAATGTTATTGTTGCATTTGTTGAAAGTAATTTTTCAAAATTTAAATTATGAAAATCTTATTTACGAATAACTATATTATAAGAACGATTGAATAGTCTAACTTTGATATCTATTGAACAAGATTTGTAAAAAACGAAAGTTTAATTACTTGGTTTGCTTCTAGAAATGCGAGAAAAATTATTTTTACATGATTTGTTGTATTTCAAAGTTTACACGTGGTATTTGATGTTTCTAATTTCAATATTTTCTGATATGGAATTGCATGAAAAGTTTAGGGGGCGTTCTCTTTGTTGTTTTCAAGCCGTTTTCTGTTTTCGATTTTTTAAAACGGTGAAAACGTGTTCTCTTTCCCGTTTTCGAAAACGTATTTT